GGAGCTAGGGCACGGTGCTCCCCAGGTGTGTAAGGGAAACGTGCTGTTTCAGAGCAGGTACATAACCACTTTCGGAAGTACGAGGTCGAATACCTGCAGTTCGCCTTCCGCTGGATGAACAACCTGCTGATGAGGGAGCTGCCCCTCCGCTGCACCATCCGCCTCTGGGACACCTACCAGGTACGCAGGCTGCTCGCTGCGGGGCTCGTTCCCCTTGCAGCGTGGGGAGGAGGTTTTGTGCAGCAGGGAGAGGGGAGAAACAAAGCATTGTGCCCCTGGGGCTTTCCCAGGTAGCAGGGGACAGTCTGATGTCTGCCCACCAGAGCTGTGAGAGCTGACCCAGAGCTTTTTGTTGTCCGCAGTCGGAGCCGGAGGGATTCTCGCATTTCCACCTGTACGTCTGTGCTGCCTTCCTGATCAAGTGGCGGAAGGAGATCCTGGATGAGGAAGACTTCCAAGTAAGTCCCTGGGAGGGGGGGTAATTCCTCTGGGAAGAGGGGAGGGAACTGCCCTAGGGGGGAGCCCACCGTGGGCCTGGTCACCCACCCGCTCAGGACTGGCTCCCAGATGGTCTGGTCTCGGGATCTTTGCCTGAAAGTAACTTCTGAGCCCCTGTGCTCAGCTGGAGGCTGCAAACATCAAACACCAGCTCTTCCCTGGGCTCGAGCTCTGGTCGCAGTAAGTCTCATCGTGGTTTGGGGGCATCTGAGGTGCTCCCCTCATTCAGAGCGGGACACGAGCACTTCCTAATGCTGCCTCCGAGTCTTTCAGACCTCAACAGTGACAAGTGAAAGTCACCGAGTGCTGCTGCCTCTGGTGCCCTGAGCCTGCTCTGGAGCTGCGTTCTGCCTTCGACTGCCCCAAACTAAGCATCTTCCCCTCTTTCAGGGCCTTCTAATGTTGTTACAAAACCTGCCCACGATACACTGGGGCAACGAAGAGATCGGACTCCTGCTCGCTGAAGCCTACAGACTCAAGTACATGTTTGCAGACGCTCCCAATCATTACCGCCGATAGGTGCCAGGACTCGACTCCCTCCTCTGCCCTGTGCCCACCTCCTCCTCCTCCTGGCCCGATCTGATCACTGTGGCATTTTGTCGTCCCAAGTCCTTCGGACACTCCAGCCGGGAGCTGCTCCTCGCTGTACAAAGCTCACATCGACTTGTCTTAACTCTTCTGTGTGCCTGTCCGCCACTCCACGCGCCTGGTGTGCCACTCCAACCACCGTCAGTATTTCAAGCCAGGGAGAGAGAGGCTTGAAGGGGCTCGGGGGCAGCTTTGCAGACAAACTGAGCCGAGGACGGAGCCCTCCTGGCCTCTCCCACCCCTGCCCAGGGCTTGTCCAGCTGTTGACTGCCTTGGCTTTGCTGCCGCGTGTTCGCCCACCGCTACACACGTGCTCGCCGCCTCGCACCCGTGTGCGCTGCCCCATCCCGGTCCCTTCTCTCTTCAGACACAGTTCGATCCAACTCCCAGACGAAAATGCCTTATCAGAGACTGCCTGGCCGGAGACCTTCCCCGGGGCTGCAGGGCAAGAAGTTTCTCAGGGCCTGGCTTCGCTCCCAGCGTCCGAAGACCCCGAGCGCTTTGTGGCTTCACGAGGGAGCTGCTCGTGCTCTGCCCTCTCCTCTCCATCCTCGTCGCCTTCCTCCAGGTGTTGGCGTGGTGGGCACGGCGGGGGGACCACTCCACCCACGTGTGCTTCGTACGATGCTCGTCGGCTGGCCGAGACCTCCTGCGCCCGCCGTGCCGTCGGTACAGCCCCTCCTGGCCTGGGGGGAGCGGGGGGCTCCTCAACGCCCCCTCGCAAAGCCCCCGCTCCTCCGAGGCGTTCTGTGTATATTGTGTTCTTGTGTATATGGGTCAAAGATGTACAATATAAGTCTTCTGTTTGTAGCAGATATGATTTTATATTTATAACATGCATCCCTTGTTCTTCCCATCCTCTCCATGCCTCTGAAGGCTGCCTGGGTACGGCCTCCTTGGGCTTTGGACCCCTCCCCAGGTGAGGGGGGAGCCGGAGCCGCAGCTCCTTCTGCCCTACTGTGTTTTTGGGGTGTTGGATTTGTCAGGGAGTTTTGGGGTGAAAATAGTCCGAGGTGTCCCACATAAAGGGGTTTTGGGGGTTTAGAGGAGAGGGGAGCTCCCAGTGGGTGCGGGAGCTGGGGGAGAGCAGGGTGAGGAGATACAGGGTACGGTGCCTGGTCCCGGCACCGCAGGGCACAGCGGTGCCAGTGCTGCCGGGGCCTCTCCTGGGCACAAATGGTCCCGGATCCGGCGCTGGCTGCCCCTGGTGCTCCCCATGGTGTGGACGCATCCTCCGGGAACCCGGCACAGCCAGGGCTGGCCTCACCTCCCTCGGTTCTTAACCGAAACCAAGTGTGAATGTTTTACTGGGCTGCTTTCCTCTGGGTACTGTCCCTGTCCTGCCGGGGTTGGTTGTGGGGGATGCAGGGGACGGGTCCGGACCCCACTGGGGTTTCTCGGGGCTGTCGGGGCAGGACGTGGGGGTGCCCGATGCGAAGAGGCAGCGGGCCGTGAGGCCGGGGCCAAGCATGTGGAAGGCAGAGCCTTGTTGCCAATAAAACTCCAAACAGTGTCTCAAGAAATTGCTTTCCTGACCTGGAGTTTGTTTGTTTTTGTTTTTGTTTTTTTTTTTTCCTCAGGCATTTGGACTTTTACTTTATTTTCATGTGTGCCTTTTGTTGTTTTCTCTGAGCCAGACCTGGCGGTCGGTAGTTTGACAGGACTAATTAAAAGGAAAAAAAAAGAAAAACCAAAATGATTGAACTGCGGGCTGAGCTGTGTGGTCTGGCACGTGTTTGCAGCATGGGCTGGGGGGGGACAGGTCCTTATTTGGCCCAAGGGGGCTTTGGGCAAGTCATTTTCTTCCATTGTGCCTCGGTTTTCCTATCCATAAAATCTGGAAATTCTCCTTTTTGTACTAATCTGGGGGAAAGCATTGGGTTTGGTTTTGTTTCAGAGAATTGATATCACACAGAAGGGGTCGCCCAGCAAGGCTGGGGGTGGTGGTGCTGAAACCCCAGCAGGGGTGGCCCCGGTGCTTGTGTCGGGGGCTTGAGGTTTGGTCTCCATCCCATGGCCCCCTGCTTCTCCCTGGCCCTCCCTGCTCTACCCCTGTGACCCTTCTCTCCCCATATTTTCTCCCCCAGGTTCCTGACAGTGCCCATCTCAGCCCGAGGACTCTGAAAAGGGCCGGGGGGGGCTGGGGCAGCCCCGAGCCCCTAAATCCCTGCCCCATGTGCTGCAGAGGGGCTGCAGGGTGTTAATTCAGGGCTCAGCCCTATTACCCCCATGTTCTTTTTTAGGACTTGTTGTCGGGGGGGCCACGCTGCTGGGGCCCCCAGCACAACCCCGCAGAGGCTCTGCACCCCCTGCTCACCGACTGACTGCCCGAAAGAAAACCCCACAAACTCGCTTCACCCTTTTGGGCTGCCCCCACCACCAGGGGGGCACAATTTAAACATCCCCACCAGGCTCCCCGAGCTTCTTCCACCCATCCCTGCCCCACGGGGAGAAGCCAGGGGCGAGCAGCAGGGCTGCTGCTGCTGGAGCGCCTGGAAGGTGCCATTGTCATGGAAACCTCTTAGCCGCAGAGTAATTCCCTCAGTCAGCATCTCGTTTGTTAAAAGAGGAAAAGGAGGAGGTGGAGGGAGGCTATTTTATTACAATCTAATAATTCCAACCGAAAATGCCAGCGTGGAACTAACTAGGCGGGTGGGCTGACTGCGGCTGCTGGTTTTTTGGTGCTTTCCTCCTGGGAAGCTGCAGCCACCGCGTGCTGCTCCCATGTCGCAGCCTTCCCAACATCTCTGCTTGCTCCTAAATCCTCGTTCTCCCCCTGTTTCTTGCAACAGGTAGAAAACATTAAAAAGAAAGTTAGACCCTCAGCTTTTAATGCCTCCCCTCATACCTGCAACGCTCGCTGAGCCAGGACGCTGTGCTTGGCTGTGCTTTTTGTGTGCTTTTTGTGTGCTTTTTGTGCTTTTTGTGTGCTTTCTGTGTGCTTTTTATGGCCTTCAGGTCAGCCATCCCAATACTGCTGCAGCTCCTCCGTATCCCTCAGCCGCAGCTGCCATCACCCCACAGCCCTGCCCAGGTTCAGCTGCCCTGGGTCTCCCGTCCAAGCTCTTCACCCTGTTCCCTATAAATTAAATTCAGGTGGAGACAGAGGCGAGGCTTTCCTTTAACCCATCCGACCCCTTGCAAAGCCCAAATGCCCTTTTCCTAGCGCACAGCACCCCTGTGCCATTTGTGGTGCTGCGGCACTTGGATAGCGGGGTGGGGAAAAAGAAAGGAAAAAAAAAAATCCCTCGGCTCCAGCAGGGTGTCCTCGCCTGCAGCAGCACGGCCCTGTGCAGGGAGGGAAAATGCCCGTTAGGGAAGATGGAAGGGAGATGCTCGTTAGGGGAGATGCTCATTAGGGGAGGGAGATGCTCGGAGGAGCTGGGCTGCAGAGCCCAGCCCTTGCTGCAGCCACTCGCTCGGCTCCTGGCTCCATCTGCAGGAGCCCCCAGGCCCACCAAGAGCCACGAGCGCTGCCAGGAGATGGGATTCGAGCCCCAAATTTCCCCCTTGCCATCCCTCTGGGGCTCTGCAGCCGCCCCAAGCAGAGGGCTGCCTTGCACTGGGATCCCATCCTGCAGAACCCAACACTTCATGCGTTGCACAGAGAAAAACTCCCCTGCAGGAGACGTTCGAGGCGACACAGGACTTCGTCTCTCCATGTCTTCCTTCCCCATGGATCCTCTTCGGGGCCGTAAGCCCATCCGTGTCTCCTGCACAGGCACCAGGTGAGCCGGGGACACCCTCGCTCTTTCCCCAGCCAGCCCCAGGGACTGGGAAGGTTCCCTCGGCTCCCATCAACCAGGGAGCAAACAGCATTTCCCAGAGCAGAGCCCGCAGGATCAGCACCCTCTGCCTGCCATCCCCGTGCACCCGAGAGGCCCAGACATCAGGACAACACCAGCACGGACTCCTTTTTTTTATACATTAGAACATTTATTTCTCAGAGAGAAAATATAGTCTCAGACAGTCAGATTATAGTAGGTAAAATTAGCATTTGTTTTTTTTCTTTACAAGCATAGATTTTCATATTACCTCTCTTATACCATCTGATATAAACAGTTCTAGAAAGCAAATAAACTCACTTTCTACAATAAATAGAGCAATCTGTGCTTTACAGCAGACTGACAGTAACGTTTAGGTCCCGTAGCAACAGCAGGATATTAGCCAATCCAAATCCTAAAATGTCATTAAAAAAAAAAAAAAAGAAAAGAAAACAAAACGGAACAAACAAACCCCAAGATCTTAGAACATATACACAGGTCACAAGTCCACAGCTGAGCTACCACCTGGAAAAGTGTATGTCCCTCAAAATAAATTACACCGTGTGCATATAAAAGACCCAGCAACACAACTGAGGACTTCAAGAATGGTGACAATAGATCTAAATAATTTAGAACGGTATCTTACAACTATATACACAACATCCTTCCCTAGCCACACTCCGTAGGCTTTATTATTATTATTATTATTACAAAACCCTATGCCCCATCTCTATATGTTACAGGAATCTTCCTTAAAGTGTGGTTCCGTGTCCCAATGTATAAGAAGTGGTATTTTAAAAAAGTAGACCAAGTAGAAATGGCAGTGATTACTCCCCACTATTCATTATTATTAATTATTATTAATTATTATTTTGACCCCACATTCTCCTCAGTATGAAAAAGTTAAAATAATAAAAAAATATCGAGTTAAAAAGCGAAATGGTGATATTCAATCTACAATCTTGCTCTGCACCTTTGGTTCTTAAAATGGGAAAGCAAAGAGGGATACACAACAGAAGAGATCAGAGAAATCAAAAGTCCTTGGCTAATAGAAAAGGTTTTGTCATCTGTTTCCGAACATCGGTTGTCCCTGTTTTTGCCGTGCAAACCCAGAAAAAAACAGGGGTTGTCAGCAGAGCTGGGTTTATTTGTTTTGTAATGATGACAACGCTGGAGACCCACACACTAGGGAAGGGACAGACGTGTGTGAGAGAAGGCGAAAAGGCAAAATGGTTGTGTGCTCTACTTAGTGCTTGGTTTCAACCCAAACCAAGCCCGAGGAAAACTTGAAAGAGACAGAAAAGAAGGAAGAAAGGAAGAGGAGCCCCACACCAAATGTGCATAAAACAACACAAACGATGCATCTCCCTCCAACCCTGATCAACCTCAGTGCCTGCAAAGCTGCTCTAGCTCATTGGACACCTCCAAAATTAGTTTTGTTTCTTCAAAAAAGGAAGCTATCTCTGCTTATAGACTCAATTCTGTACTAAACCATGATATGAAATGTGACTGAAACAAGCACAGTCATGGAAATCAGAATTTAAATGTGAAACTATCAAAGAAATTTCTAGGACATAAACACACACCAAAAAAAAAAAGCAGATAATTTGCTTTTTATATTTAAAGCTCTGTGCATCTGTGCATGTCAGTGTGTGTAGCAGAGGGGAAGGTTACCAAAATATCTCAAACTTTTCTAAATGCAATGCAAGAAATCGAACACGAAAACACCGTATGTAGGCAGGAACAGCGCGATGCTAGCTCCCGGCTACAATTTCTTGAGCGTGATGGGACGATCAATGTCATCTAAACAAAATAAAAAGGCCAGTGATGGACAGGGTAAATTTGGCACGAGAAAGTCCAGTTGGGATTTCCAGAAAGGAGCCTGGTTTGCTTACAGCGGTGACGGGTTCCCAGGAATCGCTCAGGGCTGGCTGGTGACTGCAGACCCTGGTGGCACGGGGGAGGCAGGGGCGAGGGTCCGAAAATCCAGCAGAGCGCTGGGCTCTGCTCGCTGCATCAGCTCCCCGTGGCTCCCGCCGCCCAGCAGCTTCTCCTAACACCTTCCTCCCGGCCCTGTAGACTTATACATTTCATCTCCTGCCAGCTCTTCGGCGAGACACATTCAGAAAGAAGCTGGACAGGCTTTTTGGCACGTGTCAGGGTACTTCGAGGAGTGCTGACGGCTGCTGGGAACGGCGCACCTTGCACGAGGACACAAAGGGGTGGCAGCCGCCCCGCTCCCCGCTGGCAGCAAGCCCCTGGCCACCCAGCACCCGAGCGGTCTGCTCTGACCCCCAAAAAGTGGGCAACGGGGTCTGGAGGAGGAGGCCTGGCTGCCCCTGACCCGTTACAGGTAATTAGACGTAACGAAGGGGTGATCTCCCCGCACGCGGCTCATGTGAATCATGGCTCGGTCGTACGCCACCTGCACAGACTTGCGGATGCTGGTTTTTCGGCCTTCCATCATCTTTAGTTTGTCCACGGTGTCGTCCACGCCGAGGGGGTACACCTTGTCACGCGGGAGCCACTGCCTGCGGTCAGAGGAGAGCACAAAACCCAATCAGCAAGGGCACAGAGCAAGGCAATTAGGCACTGGTCGTCAGCTCCCCAGGAGCAGCTACATTCACACGATCTACTTTTTTTTTTTTTAATTAACACCCCACAATGACGCTATGAAGGTGTAAATGCCTGCACTGGACATGGAAAAACTGCAACCAAAATGCCTTCCTACATGAGCACAGGTTTTTCTCCACTGTCCTTCCTCGAAGCTGTAAATTAGCCTCGGAGCTCCATGGAAATCTGGAAACTTTTGTGTTCTGCACAGAGCAAGTACAGGGACTTCCACTGCGGGAAGTTTTTATCACCAAGACAGCTCTGCCTTCTTCCAGGAGTCTGTAAGCACCGTGGTTTGGGCAAGTACAATCACCTGAGTGCCATCCAAAGCAGGCAGCTTCCAGGAGACACGCTCCAAGCCCAAGCTGACCCCAACCAAACGATGACTTAAACCGCAAGTGCCTCCTCTACACCAAGTTTTGATTGTGCTGGTCGTTAGCCCAGGTTAATTAGCACACTCAGAAACGTGCCATCTTTCCTAATGAACTCCAGCCCCATGGAGTTAGATCTCGGCCACGGTTCAATGTTTCCCAGCCAGCCAGCACAGCTGACCCACGCAGCAAAGTGTGAATCCACCATGAAGATGAGGGGCTAAGTTTTGTCTTTGTGACCTTTCTGCAGCCTCACTGCAGTCAGCAGAATTTGGATCTGGCACTAAGCGGGGTCTTAGGACTTCCCCGAGATGCTCTGGCTTTGTACAAATTGCTTTCAAGGATCTAAGAAGTGGCCACTTAAAAATGTCAGGAACCACTGGAGCTTTGTCTTCAGTAACAGCAAGGCAAAATAGAGGAAATGTTGATTTTTCCTGGGCAGGTAGTTTCAATTACAAACTCAGAGTTAGATTTTTCAAAACCGATGACTACAGCAAGGGGCAGTGTGACATCGCCATTGATTTCCAGCTACAAATCATTAGTACCTCCTTGAAGAACATGCCCTGTTACCAGGAGGTTCTGGTAATCAGGGAAAGTGAAACAATGCAGCGTACAAATAACAAGCCTCAGATGTGTGTTATCTTTGTACCTCCTTTCTACAGAGGACATGAAGATACTCAGCAGGTGATGCAAACACGACCCCTGCTTCTCTGCTTCCCAGGAAGAGAGCACTGGCTTTTCCTTTTTTTTTCTAACTGCATAAAGTGCTGCTTCAGCCCCAAAATGCAGGAGGCAAGGCTCCCCCTTGCTGCTTCACCTGCTGTGTGTTTGGCTCTGCTCTCTCCCAGGAACCTTCCCTCCATCTGCAGCACAGCCTCTGGGCAGCGTGCCTCCTTCCTCCAGCCCTTCCCTACCCTCAGGAGAAATATTTGCCCTGGCAGGGCTGCCACCTCCCTAAAGCCCCTTCCAGGGATGCAGGTAAAGACTATATCAAGGAGACGAAGGAGGAGGAGGGCTCTCGAAGTCCTGCGAGGCTCCTTTGTAAACTGTTGGTGTCTCGTTTTATAGAGGAAAGAGAACAGGCAAATCTCTCTCCACCATTTGCATGTGCACCCCAACTGCTCAGCATCTGCTTTGTCCTCAGTTTAAACCCTGCAGATCTCTGATCCCAGCAGTGCACAGACACCGACTCCTGTGTTACTGTTTATTGCTCGGTTCCTGTTGCATTTGCTGGTTAAATAATCCAGCAGGTTCAGCAGACAGCTGCCTGCCTCGTCAGGGGGACTCACCTCTTCCAGCACAATGCTCCAATTTGACGAGCTTCCCATTGTTTCTCGTGCTGATTTCAGAGCCTTATTGCTCTTTTTTAAGGCACTTCATTGGTTTGTGGCTTATTGTATGTCTGGGTTATTGTGACCACATGAGCCTGGTCAGCCACTGACACTAAAATCAGCAGATTCAGTCTGTCTGAGAACAGTGAAAGGCCTTGAGATATTTCACTTGCCCTGAACCCACTGCTTACACCTCCATTTTCCATCTTAAAACAAATGGCTTCATTTGAAAGCTGCAGGTATCGCTACCCCTGAAAAATCAGGCTGTTAGTTTAGGTCTAAATATGGAAAAAAAATCCAGCATTTTGAAAATGTTACCCTGGAGATTCTTGGCAAATCTTTTGTGCAGCAGGGAAACTGGCTGCTGAGTCTGCTTGTGTTTTGAAGTAAAACGCTCCCTCTAATTTGCCGTAGATTTTGACCACTAAATTGGCTCTCCATGTGTCTCAGTGTTTCTGTGGTGCCGTGACCCCGGGTGAAGGCTGTCACGTTGCTCAGCAGGGAAATGGAGCAGTCAAATGTCATGGTCTCGAGCAGGGAAAAGCAGACCAGCTTCCTCATTTAGACTTCTCTTGATTGCTGCACATTTAAATTCTGATTTACATGTAACACCACCGTAACAATAACTCCTGTACGCTCCCATACGCCAAAGATTACGTTAGATCTTCCCTCTCAGCCACAGCACTCACCACAGGCCCCCGCCTGTCTGCACGCACTCACCAGGTTCTCTTGTTGTCAAAGAAAAGGACAAGGAAGAGTTTTTCGCCTGCCTCTGTCTGCCTCTGCTCCCCCAGCTTCAACACATCCATGGGTGGGACTGGGATGGGGACTCCATTGTGGAGCAAACCCTCACGCGGCATCTTGGGGTCGATTATCTAGCGACACAGGGAAAGGATATTTAAGCACAAACCCCTTCAAGCACTGCAGAAAATGCATTTATTTTTCATGTTCTTTCCGTCTATCCAAGCTAGATGATTAAAACCTACTTAGGAAGGGTAAACAAATTGCTTGCTCTATCTCAGCAGCTCTTTTTAACGAATTCTCCTATCCTCAAGGCTTCAATTTGGAAAGGGAACCAGTCAGTCCAAAAGCCAAGCACCTGATGTTAAAAAAGAAGTGAAAGGACAGAAGTATGTGGCTCTGTGTGGCTGCAGATGCATTTAGGCTAATTGGTAATTAAGCACAAACTCAGCATGGTTGTGTTCAGCAGAGGATTTCCCTCCCTCTCTCCAAACCTGCGCAATAAATTTCAGACCATTGCTGTACTCAGCAGGCATAATGTTATTTCACAACAGCTCCATTCTGGTGCAATTCGATTGACTTTAGTGGCATTGCTGAGATTTATGCTGTTATTAGATCAGAATCAGACCCCGTATTTTACGAGAGCTGACAAGCAATGCTGGCTTTATCAGGCCAGGGGAGCGCAGACTACAGTCATTTTGGAGAGAAATTACAACAAATGCGTCAATTGTCCCTATATCAAGCAGAAATGTCAGTGTCCAACATTTGTGCTGTATGATCATGGGAGGGGAACAAAGCAGCAAAAGGTGGATATATACCAGGTCTTTTCTTCTCTGCCTCCTGATCCTGGCTTCTAAGGGCTTGAAAAAGCAACTTGGTTTTGACGCTGGCCAGCTGTAGGATTTTATTAAGCCACTTTACCACCACAACAAATTATTATAAAAAAAAAGCCTTATTTTTGGGCAACTGTGCCATGCTAAAGCACAATCTAACTTTGGTTGTAGCCACATCATGATCTAAAAAATGCTTTGGCTGGCCAACACGGCGAGCAGATCCAAAGCTGTTCTCTCCTCTGGGTTCCTACCCAGAGTAAAAGCACAGATGAGGGTCATTCTTCTAGCAGAATCTGCTCTTTTTGACAGCATCAGAACTGTACTCTGCCACGGCCGGGCATACATGCTGTGTCAGCTTACGCATGGTTTCACAGCTCTGCTGTTCGGATGTAGGGACCTGTATAATTTCCGTGACGACTACACTTGCTTTCAGCCTCCTGCAATTTCTCAGCAGTCACAAGCGCCGTCTCTCTTAGTGATCCCAGCCATAAAGGTACTTCGGGGAACGGCTGCAGCCATGCAGAAACTACACGGAGCAGAGACGGCTGGAAGAGCCGTGTCTCAAGGGATATATTTAAAAGTAGCAGAAACAAGAAGACACAGTCAGACTACCGAATGTTCTTACTTTTATACTTACTTCAGCAATCTCTCTCTGGTGATAACTTAACAGGCACTTAAAAGCCTGCAGTGCCACTGGCACTTCCTAGCACCAGCTGCACGTTATCCTACTTTGGAACTGAGCATGGTGCTCACTGAAGCCAGGTTTATGGATTTGACAGTAATAGTTAAATATCTAAAAAATGATAAATATTACAGAAGCACCGTTCAAAGGACTAGGTTCCAAAACATGCACCCATTCTCATTTTCAAGTCAAACATACAGCTATTGCAAGAGGATCTGTATATACCATACGGCCAGCTGGGCACCTACATACACAGCTGTACTCACTGGGTAAGATGTACAGGCAGTGAGACACCAGTGGCACCTGGTGCCTGCCTTTACAAAATTTAAGTCTTCTCATTCCTATAGTACTGCGGAGAGGAGAGGGAGAGGAGAGGGCTCTGAAACAATGAGCACAGGGAAAATAAACTGTGAAAATGGAAAAAAACAAAACAAAACCCACATAGTACATGATTTTGAGAAGCTTTCCTTTTCTGTCTGGCTACACTGCACACTGGCACTGTGTTCTGGGGTACCTGCGCTGCTGCTACAGACTGCAAGAGAGCAGAAGGTACTTACCAAGGCAGGGTAGGAGGGATAGCCACGGCACTTGGCCCACACGAGCTCCAAGGGCTCCAGCTCAGCCTGACTCTCAAAGGCCATCAGGAGAGTCCTGCCTAAGGGACAGAAGGAGGCACGGCTTACAAGGGCCCGGGTGCCAGCACGGAGGTTGCAATAACACAAGAAACCACCCCATCCACCTAACCCAGTCCTGATGGCTTGCCTTGTCTTGGTAGCAATCAGCTAAAGCAGCTGAACGACTGTTGCACTTAAAACACGTTGACAATATTTCTGTTTCAATTTCTTTTATTCTGTTTGGTTAGACAGCAAGCAGAGAGCTGGAATTTCACTTTTGCTGAGAACAAACCTACTGTCCTCTTATTTGTCACACAAAAGCATAGATTTAGTCACTGACATGCACAAATGCACAATTCCAGAACACTTTTCATAATAAAGACAGAGAGCAAAATGGAAAGCCACTTATTGTTTGAACCTACATACATTTGGTATCCACATCCATACGTGGTAAGACACACATCTCTTCCACAGTAAGTTTATGATAAATGGAACGTGCAATGAGACATAGCATGGCTACAGTGAATATCCAGCCTTTTTATGGTGTGTCAGTACAGTTATGTTCTTCTGCCTTAAGATAGTTGTTCTCCTAAATCATAGGTCTAAGTCCATGCACACACGTAGAATCATAATATCAGAGAAATCACAGAATGGTTTGGGTTGGAAGGGACCTTAAAGACTGTCCAGTTCCACCCCCAGGGACACTTTCCATTAGATCAGATTCACCAAACTCAGCTTTGAAATGAATAGCTGTAACATTGATGAAATCAAATGGGTATAAAAGTGATGAATTTGGTCCATTACACTCCACCAAGCTAAATTCACCCTCAGTGGAACTGATGAAGCTGTATCTGAGATTGATTTGGACCTCTGCTCGGAGAGCTCCTTTTTATTCCTTGTAAATACGAATATCCAGCCAATTCTGATGTCACATACATTGAGGGTATTTGATCTCTGCAGGAAATGCCTGCTTCTCATTGACAGAAGTCTGTTAGCTACCAATTTTTTCTAACTCGGGTCAGAAATGTTGCAGGAGATCTATTCAAGAGATGAATAACTCATCTGCTAGCTCCTGGCCCTGGAAAAGGAGCAATCTTCATTACTGTGAGTTTTACAGCAGGCAGTGCTTCCTCTGGGGGGAATGGTCAATACTCTGACTTCACCACAAGTCAAACTGAATCTAGAATATGCTGAATACAACCCAAATGAGTGCACTGCCAAGGCAGACCCGATGTGCTTCTCCTGTTATTACATTCCAAGCGCATTCTTCTGTTAATGAAACGATGTTATAAAGCACAGAATCGTGTGATTCCAATTCTCCCGATACCAGCCCCTCTCTGTAAGCTTATCTCCAAAGCAGATTGCTGAGCACGAAGGGTCCAGGATGATAACAGCTCCCGCGGAGACAGGAGCCAGTGCACAGGAGCTGTACAGAAGGGCACGGGCATCCCGGGATGCCAAAGCTGAATTCTTATTTCAGAGACACCAGTGTAAACCAGCAGTAACTCTATCAATGACACACCATAACCAAGACTGAGAATCTGGCCACGTGAGTGCTGGAAGAATGGTGTGTTGCCTTGGGGAGCATTAGAGGAGTGTGACTTAATTACACTATTGGATAGCGCAGTCAGACAAAGACAACGACTTTGTTACGAAGACCTTGAAAGCAAGGATAGCAATACAAGAGGGAAGAGCTGTGAAGTCATTTCCAGAGAGACCTCTCTTGTAATTATCATTTACTGTTTGTATTGCAGCATCATTAAGGAGAACTAGTCCCCTATCTGAAGAAGGCAGTGCCAGACACATTACACCAGATCAACAGAAAGCAAATATCCGAGGAGAACACAGGGCACAAGCAATCAGCAAAAGTGAAAGCAGGAAAAACCTTTTATGCAACAGCATAAATTGGTAAAAAGCAGGGTGATAACACAGGGGCAGGTTAGCATCCTGACCGTGCCATCTGTGTGCTTCCTGGAGGGCTGGTTCCCAACACGCCCTGAGACCTGCTCCCCCTGCTTCATGTGGGGTCTCAGCCCTATCGTGCTGTGGGACAGGAGCGAGGTGTTCCCCCAAGCAGAGTCCCTGTGAGCCACTCTCACCTGAGCTGCTGTAATCAGAGTCTCCGTTCACACCGTCCAAGAAGGGCACCCGAGAAAGAGCTGGCTTCCCTCGACTTCGCTTGGGAGGCATCAAACCACTGTTAGAACAGAAAGGAAAAGCAGGGCATTAGGAAAAAACAGATTACCCTTGAACACACAGCCAAATAAATGGACCCCCCTGTTTAAAATACTGGAAAATAACTGCACTGGTGCATCCCTGATGTGAAAAGAACACCGAATACTTGAGCAAAACGTTTCTTCTGGTGCAGGAATGCTGGACGTTGTCCCAGCTTTTCCATGAGTGATGAGGGGGGCCTTATACAAACCTCATTATTAACGTGAGGAAGAAACCCAGCAAGGATTACATGCTGGAGAGGTGATGCTGTGATGTTTGGCACTCATGTGGACTCACCCAGTTGTGGGTAAACTTCAGAGAGGACAGAGCAGCCCCCTGGTACGATGCCAATCTATCAGCAACTGAACTCGATCAGCCCAAGTTCTGAACATCCCTAAAACCTCCCTACTACACAGATTTCAGAAAATAGCACATCTCCATCTTAGGCAATCCCATTTTTTTCACTTCTGGTAATTATTTTTTACAATTCTCTAATAACCACCCCATTCCGAGTGTATTTGGTGCTCAAAAAGACAGAGTGGAGAAAAAGCAGTAAACAGAGCTGCTCCTAAATAGAATAATTGTACAAGTTCTCCATGAGACATCAGCTTGTTTTAATTCCTTGTTTTGTGGGTGTCACACAGCTCTAATGTAATTTTTGCTATGTGAATTGCTTGCAATTATTGTAATAAGCACTTACATCGCACTTTTCATCTTCAAAGTACTTTGCAAACATCAACTAACAAGCCCCCACGCTCCCCTGTGAATTCGGTTTTGTCTCTCTCACTTCCAGATGGGGAAACTGAGGTAAATACAGCAGGGCCATGAGATCAAGACACGGTCTGAAAGCGAGTTTCTGGCTCCTTGTCCTGTTCTGAGTTAATCCTCACCCCGTGAAGGATTTCTGCATGACTCAAGGGCTCCCATTTACATGACATTACAACTCTGCGTGAATCCAGCTCTCTGCTTTTTGTTCCCATCCACGCAGCTTCTCGACTTACAATATTTTACTGCAACAGTTTCTTGTGAGATCTGCACGGGGATCATGGCAATATCCCACTTACAGGACAGGCAGTGATGCTCAAGCTGAAGATTTGGGTACAAAACCCAGAGAAAAGGGGAAAGAGGAGGCGGTGTGTGGATGTCAGCTCAGAGAAGCATTGGAGGCCTTTTGCCTCCAAGGGGCTCAGCATCTGCTAAGGGAGATAACTCACCGGGGGGCTGCGTGCTCCCCTGGGGCTGCCCAGCCCCTGACAGTGGACGTGGGATCGCTCTGCCACCATTTCCTGCCCTCACAGGAAATTCCTTGCCTCTTTCCACTGACACAGGCACCAGAAGGCCCTCAGGAGACAAAAACACAGCTCTGCATACCTGCAGGACACTGCCTGTTGCCTCGGGCCTTTCCAAGTATTTGCTAAAACATTTGAAGCAATTAAGGCGCATAATGGCTTATCTTTCTGTCCAAGACATGTTTTAAACAAAGATGTCCATGAGTTAAAAGGCCAACTAACAAAACACCAGCTCCTCTTGCGTGCTGCTCCACAACGCACACATTCATTTTTTCAAAAGTTCTGGATGAAGAACACAGGGATCACCACGAAGTTTGCTTCAGGGTTAAAATGTTAATTTCAACCCCAAACCAACTATGCCGTAGCCAAATTTTAAGCCTTTGAAAACCGACTTATGATGGAAACACTAACTAAACCCTAGCTATACGAGTAAAGTTATGCATCTCTAACGTTTATGTGTTGAACCTAAAGAAAAAAGCTTCATAACAGCTAACATTTAGGATCACTCTGCAAAGCAGGGTGAAGTTTTCATTTAAAAAATGCTCCTGGGACTCAACCCTGCTGCAGAATACTCTGTTACACAACAGACTGTAGTCTCAGCCCTAACAATGGGTGTGCACGGGGAATTTTACGATCTCAAGTGCCCAGCTACCACTGCAAGCTTGGGGTTTTACAGGACTAACTGAGCACATGCACTGGAAGGAAGCATAAAGTGACTGAAATTATTTCCCTACTGACAGGCCATCACCCTCAGGATCATCAAAGACAAGCAGAGGGCAATGACATGTCTCAGGCACTGAAAATATTACTCACATCAACCCTAGTTGCCCCTGTAGCCTGCACGCACAGCACACACTGCACACGATTTTGGCACAATGCTGTTATGACATGGATCTCACTGTGCAGTGAAAGGGTTGTGAAGTGTAAAGTCAGTGTGAGGAGGAATGGACAGGGAGATAAGACCAGAAAATGGGTATGGTACCATGGTACCTACTGCATCTGACCAAAATACAGACTTTTGGTTTCAGTCTGCTCAGTCCTGTCTGAAAGTTCTGCTTTTGAACTTCTGGAAGGAAGCAAGCAGCCGTTCAGTAGGTGGCAGAGGTTCAGTTTTGCCTGTGGTGCTGGGCTGGCCTTTTGAGATCAAAGGGTTTTCTGGCCTTGGCTCTCAAGAACCGCAGGAAGATACGCATCAGCAAAGAGGATGCGTCCGTACTGAGAAACAGGAGTGTAACAGATGCCCACTTGCTTGAAAAATCAAGCAGTGTTCTGGGACCTAGAGCTTCAGAGGACAGGATGGAGCCTGAGAAGCTTTTTTCTTTAGGTTCAACACATAAAATAACTATTTGGGCTGGGTTTTAAACAAAGAAGTTGAATGACAAACCCAGGCCAATAAATCCAGAGAGGAGATATTTTGGGGGAGCAGCTTAGCACAGGGTCTTACCTGCAGGCTTCAAGCACCAGCCCACTGCCCCGGCCAGAGCCACACTCGGAGTCGGAGCCGTTTTCTGCGTGCTTTGCAAAGCCGTTGGTCACTCCTGCCAAGGAAACAAAAAGGGAATCAGCCCCAGGAAACAGCAACAACACACAGAGACGCTGCCAAAATTCGGGTAGGGTCCCTGCCTGCTGACCTGGAAAGCCAGGAGCAGTCACAAAGAGGATGAGTGCTTCAACAGGAGAGGGAAATTCTGAGTTCCCCAGGCTCAGCTGGAACCCGAAGGTGACCAGGGAGAGGTATTTCTGCTCCCCACACCCGGGAAATTGGGCTGCCTGAAGAAGCAGCGAGTGCTGGGGAAGTGCTCTGGGTAGAAGCCCCCCCTCTTCCTCTCAGGCCAGTACAAATGTCACTGCAGTGGAATATTTCAATTCCATGCCCCGGGCACTGACTGCACTGGAAATCTTACCTTTGCTGCCAAGTTTCCTGCTCCATGCACCAGAGGGATACCTACACAGGGAGCTGGCATCACCTCTGGGATTAGACAAGAACCAAATCTCCCCAGCACAGGCAGGAAAAAAAAAAAGGAAAAAAAAAAAAAAAGAAAAAAAAAAAAGACCAAGCACCAACCCAACACTGCCCTAAGAAAAGCAGAGCACGCACAAGCAGGCAGACGACCACTGCCTTTACCCATCCTAAACACAGTAGAACTCCATGAGCCACACAAAGGGCAAAATCGTGTCAAGGCCACTATTATTCTCCAGCTTTAACACTGCCACTGCCACAGGGAGTGCATTTTTGGGCAACACCTTGGTGTGACAACCCTGATCACGATCACGCTGACCTGCCTCTGTGCTAACACAGACTTGGCACCAGACACTCCCTCCAGTTAGGAGAAAACAATTGTGCTTGAAACAGTCGAAGGCACTGAATCACCAAAGCAGTGCTGCGATTCAGGAAAAAAACCAGCAGTGCTTCTTCAGCAGAGGAAAAATATTACTGCCTAGTTATCACTGATTTTCCAGCACCCTTCCTGTATTTTTCCTTTTTTAATTTCAACTTCTCATGCTGAGCTTTATCCACTGTGGGTAACTCCTCTCTGCTTTAATTACTGGCACACAATGACAGTGTGTCCCTCAGCTAGCAGCTCCTCTTTGGAGAAGACATTCACGTTTCCTTTAACCTGTCCTAGTAAGTCAACCCCAATGTGCAATTGCTTTCCTCCCACTCTCTATTTACGAACAACCTTCGACAGCCAAATAACTTTAAGATGGTATTTGAGGTATGGGCTGTCAAGCCTTACACATGGGAGCTGTCCCACGATGGCTGTTAACACAGAATTGGAAAGAAATCACATTGCTGTCACTCAGATGTTCCTTTTCACCTTGAATCTTTCTAAATTTGATCTCAGCTGCTTATTCTTGTTTACGGGGCTTTTTTGAAAAGGAACCTGTTTGGTCTTCCCACTAATTTTATCTGAGTCTCAGAACTGAGAGTACAGCTTGGTTTAGAGGCAGTGTTTGCCATCTCATCTTACACGAGTGTTGTGTTACTGGTCCACTGCACACTTCCAAACAAACACATCACTTCTGCAGAAGGAAACCCTCGCTCCTCAGAGTAGCCTACTCAGCACAAAGTTTCCCATGAGGGCAGGAATGCCAGCACTTCTCAACCTTTACTACAGACCCTGCAATCTCCAGCCAGGCCATTCAACGTCTCTGCAAGCAGCTGGGCATGGTGGCTTGCTCTACAAAAAGTGGGGAACTCCTCTCAGCAGCCCTGCTGACTGGTGAAAGGAAGAATTACTTGTAACCCAATCTGTGTTTCATCTTGTTAGCTTTAAATGTCTAAAACGGAGCTGTGTAGAGCTGAACTAAGTTACCACAAACTCCATGTATAGTCAGGGGAGAAAAGAGGTGCAGCTCATTATGGACATGTCTTGTCTGCCCCATTTTAGGAACCTGCAGAAGAGGTGAGGCTTTCCTCAGGCACCTCTGGCTCTGGTGACTGTGTCCTCCAAGCACAAAGTGAGTTTCAGGCGAGCAGTTCACATGCAAACATCTTTACCTGGCCTCAGCGCTCCCACTCTCCCAGCCCTACCTAGCAGTTTCCAGGTGTACAAAAGAAAGAGAAACCCCAGGAATGAGGGAATCACCTCTCTGTCCTGCCTGCCTGGGCGACTTCTCTCCGTCGCTCTCGCTGTAACTCCTGCTCTGCGGCCGTTTCCGGGCTTGTCGCTCCCTGTCGCTCTGCCCGTGGTCCTCCCCGTTCTCCAGGGAGCAGTCCAAGCCCCTCTGCAGCTTCACCCCATTCTTAGCTTTTTTAAAAAGGACAGATGTCCGTCGGCCCACGCCACTGAAGGGGGGGCTGGTGGGGGTGTCCGCAGGCGGCAAGGCGAGTCCGTTCAGGCCGTTGTCACTCAGCAGGCGCTGGAAGGCCTGGCTCTCCCGCTGCAGCGCCTTCTTGTCGAAGAACTCCCTGTCCGACATCACCTTCTTCTGCAGCTGGTTGAAGGACTTGCTTTCGTTGATGGGTTTGAGCGTCGGAGGGTCCTGCAGAGACTCCAGCTCCGAGAAGGAGGGTGCAGGGCCCGTGGGCTCCAAGGTGGGAGGGTGCGGGGGCTTGGCATCATCTGATAAAGGAACAAAGAATCTGCTTGAACATTTTAGAAAGAGTTATTCTCAAAACTACACAGAGTCACTCCTGTCTTCCACTAAGGCCACAGACAGGAGGAACAGCAGGTACTGGCTGTCAACATGCACTAGGAGAGTTAGAAGTAAAATCCAGTTGCAACCTCTCACCTTTCTCCCCTTCCTCATCCTCTTCCTTCACCGTTTTATCCAGCCCCTCTTCCCACGGCACAGGCTCCCCATTGGGCATGGTCTTGTTCTGCTGTTGGGCCAATTTCTGCCGAACGGAGTTGATTTCCCGTCTCAGGAGCCGGATGCGTCGCGTCCGGGCACCACTGGACCGCATGGGGCTCACAATGTCCAGCTTCTCCAGCAGCTCCTTCAGCTGGGCCTCCAAGGAGAGGTGAGCCCGGTTCTCTGGCAGGAGGATGTTATCCACTGCAGCAAAAGAAATTGTAACAGTGAAGGGAAGGAGCGAGGCTTTTCGGAGAAGGGAATTCCACTGCTGCTATTTGGGACCACAGCCATGCCTCATTACCATCGATGCTATTTATGAACCAGATGCTGTAGTTTGAGGATTTACAAAGTACTAGCCTTGGAGCTCGGACTTCCTTCCACTGGGTAAAGAGCAGCTGATTTAACTTGTACTGCCCTCCAGTTCCCGTTACTGTCCCAGGGATGGCAGTGAAAGAACACGTGTCTGCACCCTACACAAGACAGCTCACAGTCCAGATCCTTCACAGGCCTGCTGAAGTGCCAGCAACTGCTGGAGCAGGGCAGAGAGCTGAGGGCTGCCCTATCATACACTAACACGAATTTCATAACATTTCCATAATCTGTATTTAAGAGGGTCGAAACATTTAGGAAATGAATCAGACTGCAAGCTCCGAATGCTGGATGGCAGCAGTGTTCTGCACTAAGTTTAGCAAAGCAATTGTACACCATTGCCAACCAGTGCTTGGGATCTGCATCCTGAGATGCTGATCTTGGCTGTGGGCATGGCTGGGGTCATGTTGTGAATGGAAAGTCTCACCTAGAAGGATTGTTTGGGTCCCAGTACCGTAATGCCACATCATCTCCTCCCAGCCTTTAGGGCTCCATCTAATCTAGTTGGTCTATACTTTGTCAATTTGTTGCCTACCCTGAAAGGCTTTGCACCTCCTGTTCCATCCTAGAACAGGGGTGAAACCATGTCAGTTTTCTCATTCAGTTCTCCCTCATTATTTGTCACATTTGCAACCAAGAGAATCGCAGAAACTGAGAAGGAAAATAGTCTCAACCCCTGAACAATACAGAGTTGGCTCTGTAACAAGCCACAGGTATATAATGATTATCGTTTTGATTTACAATGAAATATATGACCTTTCCTTAGAGCAAAAATCCTAGATCCACCTTTGCATTCTTCTTTAAAATACCGATTTATGATACACCCACAGCACAAATCAAATAACACAGGCAGGTACAAGGTTCTGAGGCAGATATGCACTAAAAGATCTGGAACTAAGTTGCACTTAGCTCCGAGAGCTCAACTCACCTGAAAACCTGCTCTTTGAGGCTATGAAGGAGTTAGATATATGCTTAGGTAAATACATGGGTAGGAAACATTTTTTATGTTGAATGATGGCTACGATTTTCACACAGGCTGTTTGACATGCTCAGAACAAAGTACATGGTTACGATCTATCCAGAAAAAAAAAAAGAAAACTAATCAACACTCACCATCCTCCCAAGAAAAGCGGTAAAAGTCCTCAGTTTTGGGTGACTCGGGCAGGTGAATCCCCACATCAGTGTCAAAGCCGATGCTTTCAGCCTGCCGCCGTGCATGACGCAATATCGCTCCTCCGAGGTCTCTGAGCCGGACAGCTGCTCGGTGGAAAATCGTGTCTTTAGCATTATACCTCATGCAGTTGGTAACTATAAGGTTAAAGTCTTCCTCAAACTCATCCAATGTTCGGTACAGGTGGGACTCCAGCTTCCGCCTCATGGTGGAAAAATCCATTGGGTTGGAAATGAATTCCAGGTAATCTGGAACCTAAACATATAAAACCTGTACAATTACAAAAACCATTTACTAGCCAACTAGAGCGCATCCATCATAAGCACTCTGAACGCCCTTTCCACCTGCAAGGGGCAGTGCCAGCAGTTTATTTGTGTGTCACCCAGTCAGGGCAGACACATCCTGTCTCTGCAAAACACTGCTTGTCTGAGATGCGCTGAAGCTTCCAGAAAACAAAACCCTGTTTTGGCCTGGAAGGATCCCCACACTGTGAGTCCTCTTTGAGATATTCTTCAATCCACCAGCAGCTTGGGACAAGGTGGTTTGTGCTGCCCGGGTTATGACAGCACATGAGCTTCTGCCCAGCAACACCTCATCTCCAACCCGTCAGACACCCCTAGGAAAGAGACTTGCCTCGTTCAGGTTAACGGGCTCTGCGAAGATCTGGGCAGCATCCTTCTCCTGCAGCAGGTCCAGCGTCGTGCGCAGAAGGACATTGAAAGGCGTCAGCTGTAGCTCCATAGGCAGCCTGCTGAACCTTGACCTGGGAACGGGAAAACGGCGATGAGGACAGTTATCGAGGACAGGATATGCAGATAGCGTCTCCCTCTTGTTTCTCCTGAATCATCAACCCAGCCCCACTCAGTGGTGGAAACCTCAGGTCATCGTGCCACTGGCCTGCTAGACTCACTGCTGAAGAATTTCTGGCAAACAGCTTGTCCTTTCCATGTGCACGATGCACATTAGCAGACAGCACTTTGCAGAGCCTGATTTCAGAGTCCAAACTTTTTGCATAGGGGAACTCCTTCTCATCCCATCTCATAAAGCCAAACAAGAGGAAACCCCATGAACTTGAAAGGGAGTAGAACTAAAACTGAAAACAGGAAGAAGTTTTTCATGCCTGGTAAATTATCCTGTAGAACTCCCTGCCTCGAGATATTATTATGCCAATTAGCAACATTACAAAAAAGTTAAAAGTACGTAGGCGTTTACATGAACAACAACACTCATAATTAGGCGAGTGAACATAAACAAAGTTCAAGATACACGCTCTCACACTTCAAGGCAGAAGCCACACCACAATAATGGTTAGAAGCACGCGAGTTTCATAGTACAGTTTCTTACTCCATTCTTTATGGAGTCCCTAATGCTGTCTTGATTTCAAGCTAACAAGTTGTAGCACCAGTTTGGTCTCTTACACTGAAACTCTATTCAAAGGAAACTGGAAAAGGATAGAGGTATTTATTTCTGCTTTAACATTTTAATTTCTTTGATCTTGTAATCCATCATTATGTCATTAAATCAACCACTTCAATAGGAAAGGAAAGCAAGTCTGTTTACACAAAGCAAACTGTATTTGATGTGCTCAGCAACAAGACAGCATCAATAGGAGAATGAATGAAGGCAGATAAAGTGACCTTTAAATCAACAGCATGACCACACTCTTCCCCCAAAACAGGAAAGAACCTGAACAAAGAGTCAGAACTCTGGAACATCCCTGCCACTCACCTAAAGGTTGGGCTGGGCTGGAGCTCCAACCAGACACACTTTTCTGTGATACCATATCCATTTCTAAAGCACACTGCAGTTTCAAAAAGCTTTTATGGATTTATCCAACTGAGATATGGATACACCGAGATATCAAAAGCAAACAGATACAAAGCTCAAGTGATTTTTTTTTTAATCCTCCTACCTAAAATATGTCCACACAGCAAGCAGGACTGAGCCACTGCTACAAATGAGAGATATCACAGCAAATGAACCAGTGCTGGCATCAAGAGGCCTGCAGAAAAGCCGTGGGCAGTTTCTGGACATGAAAAAAAACAGCTTGCAGAGGGGCCATGATCACAGAGGATGCTGCTTTCCCTCTGTCTGGCTCCCTGCAGTGCCTAGCAGCAGGGAGAGCACCCAGGCAATGCCTGAGGGCATGCATTCAGGCTCACATGTGCAGGTTGAGTCTTTCATGAAGCTGTCCTTGAAGATACCTTGTGCCAGAGAGCACAGCTGTGGCTGCACCCTCTGACCAGGGGTGACAAGGAAAGACCCTCAACAGACAGAGCTGGCAAGCAGAGGAGGTAACTTTAACCAGTGCAACTGCACACAGGTCAAAGAGGGAACTGGAAAATTTAGTAAATTAACCTTAAAACTGCTTCTTCTCAAAAAGGATACTTAGAGGGCAAAACATGGGAATTTTTAGATATAGAAATGAGCAGAATTACGATTTAGGCCTTTTTCTAGAAAGGGTGTTACCAACATCCTGAAATAAACATTAAGGGAGATCCAATTTCTACTCTGCAGAACACCTAGTCCATGCCCAGGACAGAAAAAGAAGGGCTGTTGGAGGTCATGAATACAATTCATCGTTAGTTATGCAAACATTTCCCCAGCATTCTGCAGCCCAGCACTGGTCCTGGGGGCAGAGGCTGTTACAGACTAAGGTGCTGAGCGAGAGGTGGCTGCTCTACATATCCCAAAGTCGGACTCTATGAAAAGAGGAAAAAGCTCAAGAAAAACCTGCCGTGCTCCTCTGCCTTCTGCAACACTGGGTGCTTGCACAGGGCTGAAGCAGCAGCCTGACAGCCCAAAGTACCTACCTGCTCCCGTTTGAGCTTTTCCCTCTTACGGATGAGCTCGATGAGCAGCCGTGCCCGCTCCAAGTCATGTCGCAGTTTCTGCCAGTACTTCAGCTCTTCCTTCACTGCGCTGGTCTTCTCATCCTGCTCCTTCTGTAACACATAACAGCGGGGCGAGATGAAAAACACAACTGGCTTCCTCTGTTTTCTCCTCTTTTCTAGGTGTCCCCTATGCACCGCTCTAATAGCCTGACTCTTCTTTCCTTGTCTCTTGTTCAGATTATGTCGCCTCCTCCCTGCAGTGTTTAGCTGTCTAACAAACGTAACATCAGCCCTTCTGGATTTTGCATTATCTGTGAAGTTTGGCCTAAATCACACCGGAGCTACTCTAGGAAAACACTTCAGTGCTTGCTCACTTCTGCTCTCCGTGCCTTTATATCAAAGTTCATTACAGAGGCTGGAAATTCTTTTTGTTGGCTGCTGTGCATTGAAGAGGCAGCCCAAAGGGTTCACAGTACAAAGGCAAGGCGAGCAAAAGCATCGGAGAAAAAAAGCTATTATTATCCTTTTTGTAACCAATAGGAAATTGAGCCACGGAGAGATTCGCCAAAACACAAAGGAACGGCCAACGCTGGGAGATGAGCTCACACCTTCCAAGACACAGTTCAGTGGTTTCACAATGCAATCATCCTTCCTCTCCTAAATCTGCAGCTTTTCACATGGTTTTGAGGATACAGCTGAGGTGCACATACTTTTTTGCCTTACTGCCAAGAGAAGAATGATAAATGCTTTGCACTATCTCAATGGCTTATATTTGTAGAACATTTGTCTTTAAGAACTTATTTATGGTAAATTGTTAACTTAATACAGCAAGGAAATGCTGAGTTTCCCCAAGCTCCAGGCTGATGAGTGGGAAATATTTGTTTTATTATTCATCCAGAGCAGTCTTGATGCAAACTGAAAGCCTATAAATTCCTCCAACTTTCCAACTACAGTAAAACTAAATGTGCACAACACACAATACCTACTACCTGCCTATGTCACAGGGCAGAGTCTTACTATTTCATTACTTCACCAACTACTTCTTGTGCCAAACACAGCACTGTTTAACAGCATCACGTCACTCTGGGATGCCAGCTCAGAGGAGGAAGCAAAGAAGTCCAGAGCTGATGATTATGTGTAAACTTTCATGTGAACGTCCATGGGAGGGTCAGAAATTCAAGCTGCAGGAAGAATGATCCAAACTGGAATTTAGCCAGGACTCTGGAGCTAACACCCATTTTCCTGAGGAGAGGATCTTTAATCACAAGAGAGGAACGTGGTTCTCTGACTCATCTGAGAGATGAGGCTACCGAGGGCCCGTCACGCCTCTGCACAATCCCAGGTCTCCTGACTCAGGTGGAAAACTCTTACCTGCTGGCTCATCAACACTAATTCTGGTGGCACAGTGGACATCCCCACTGGCACACTAATTCAGCTATTCATGAGCATACCCAGAGAACAAAAGTAACCCAGGAAGAGCCACTGTCCTCCTCCTCTTGGAGAGAGACTCTTTATGAGGGCGTGTAGTGATGGGACAAAGTGTAATGGCTTTAAACTAAAAGAGGGTCAATTTAGATTAGATATTCAGAAGAAATTATTTACTATGAGGGTGGTGAGGCATGGGAACAGGTTGCCCAGAGCTGTGGATGCCCCATGTCTGGAAATGCTCAAGGCCAGGTTGGCCTGGGGGGCTCCAGGTTGGATGGGGCTGTGAGCAACCTGATCTAGTGGGAGGTGTCCCTGCCCATGGCAGGGGGATGGAACTGGATGATCTTTAAAGTCCCTTCCAGCCCAAACCACTCCATGATTTTATGACTGTTAGAATTCTTCTTTATGTTCTCCCATGCCTAACTCCTGACTAAAAATCCAGGCTCATTATACAATTCCATAATTGCACAGGTGAGGCAACCCTCTGCCTGTTTCACCCTTTCCAGCTACACAACAAGTGCACCCTCCCAGGCTGTGTGTTTGCCATCCCCCCACGTGGATCCAGCCCGCAGCACGGTACCTGCTCCGCGTTCCTCTGGGACTGGAGGTGCGAGTGCAGGCGCCGGATCAGGGGCACCCCGTTCCTCGCTTGGCGCTTCAGCAGCCAGTAGTTGTGGAGCCTCTGCATGAACTGGTTCTTCCTCTGGAGGGAGAGGCCGCTGCAGATTTTGTTCAGCCTAAAGGAAGCAAAGAGGCGTCATGGAGCCAGCTGCAAAGCAACGGTAACCCCGCAGACCCTGGTGATGCCACCAGGTTCCTGATGAGGCTTTGTGGTGGGCAGCTTTGAGGCTATACAGCCTCAAAAGTCGATGCATGCCCCGATCCACACCTGCAACAGGCACAACCTGGGGGCTCTCAGCCGTGAAGATGTACGTGCTCGCTTTTCAGAGCACATCCCTATCTCAGTAGCAGCTTGGCTGGAGGGTCTGACCAGGTACATCACTGCACAGTCAAAGCATGCAATCCCCCATTCAGCTCCAAGCAGTAACCTGGAGCTGAAAAAAACTATTTTTCGACTACAGCTGAAAAAGCAAAAACTATTTTCAGTGCCAGAATAACTTTACTGAGGTCATTGAAGTTTTATGTCATGAAGCTGGAGTCTGGGAAGCTAACTTGACAGGAGTCCAGGAGTAATATAGTACCTATTTTAACCTTTTCAAACCATTCATTAGATTATACACGGTGCCTTATCAGCAGTCTTTCAAAGCTAATCTGTTGAAATACTGGCGACACATCACTGCAATTCCTCAGGCACCAAATGAGAATTCATCACTACCTAATTCTGCACGAGAGAGCTGGGAGAAAAAACACACAGCCAGATTCAAAGCTGCCTGCAGCACTGACAAGTTTGACATGCTCTGTATTAAAAGGAGGAATTAAAAAAACGACGAAATGAGAAGTTTAAAAGAAAATCAATAGGAGGATGACCCCTAATCGCTTGCCAATGTGTAATGCCTGAAGTATTTTAAAATCACCTTCACAGCCGTCCATGTAAATTTGGTTGCTAGATGGGTGGTTGCCTGTTAGGGACCACTGAAGATACTGCATTATGTGACAGTTTGGGACTGCTGCTTGAACTCTGGTGAGGAGCACAATCTGAACCCAGGTTGCCAGGTTTTGACTGAAGAGAGTGCTCCCAAGTTCAAAAACCAGAGGGACCGAGTCCTCAGACCCTGTCCACTCCTGCTGCCCAGCTCCAACACTCACCTGTAAGAGGGAATTTGTGCAACTGTCACCATGGGCACAGACGAACGCCCATCAGTCGCATCGCCGGGCTCCTTTTTGATCTTCTGCTTCAATTTCACTTGGTTCTTTTTCAAGGACCCTTTGGGAGGGCCAGAATGGGCTTCCTCCTCTCCCTCCTCCTTCACAGTGTCCTCCTGCCTCTCACCAGCAGCAGCTGGAGCCCCTTTTCTCACTGTCCCAGGAGGGGAATGGCTCTCACAATAAGCAGTCTTGCGCACGGTGAACGTTGTGCCGTTGATGCTGGTCTCTCTCATGGGTTCGATCTTCATGAAGAGACCGGCTCGCTGGGCACAGGTGACATGGAAGGCAGTGTAACAGTTCACCTTGTGGCACTGGATAGCAGCTCCCATGCCCTTCTGCTTGCAGATATAGCACGTGAGCTTCCACCGAGCCGGGGGAATGTTGTTTATCCCTTCGATGGGCTCCAGGAACACAGTGTTTGCAAAACAGACCTCCGGGATCCAGATGGCACAAACCACGTGAGCCCAGCGGCCATCGCTGGTCTGCTTGAAAGCTCCACCTTTGTTCGGGCAAAGGACACAATCCACGGGGCGAGAAGGAGACTGTAAGCAGCAGCGGCAAAGCCACTGCCCCTCGGGGATGTAGGGCACGCCGTAACACTCCTGGTGCACGGCCAGATTGCAGATATCACAGAACAGGATGACGTTGCTGTTGTGACACTCATCGTCCATGCAGACGCAGCAGAAGGCATCCTCATCGATGAGGGACTGCTGAGCCCCGTTGTTCCGGCTCTCGAGGTACGACTCCTTTTCCAGCCGGTCCACCAGCAGCTCAAAAGTGTCAGCAGAAACTGTCCCGTAACCATCATCCCTTCTCTTCTCATTGACCATTTCCAGCCAGGCCAGATCCTCCTCGTCCATGTCATACTCCACCTCTGCATCGAGGTCCTCGGGAGGTTTCTCAATGTATCGGTAGTAGGCGGCAGGGAGAGGGGGGGCATCCGGCTGGCTGAAGATGTCCACCACACGAAAGTTGGGCTGGGGTAAGTGTAAAGATGTCCCCGGTGCGTGTTTGGAGCAGGACTCCTTCTTCTTGCCTTTGGAAGGTGTTTTCTTGGATTTGGAAGGGAAAAGGGGCTGCTCGCTGTTCTCCTTGTTGCTGTTGCACTCCGTGATGTCCTGGGCAGTCAGCTCGTCCTCGGTGATGATTTTTAAGGGATCATAGATGCTGATGCGGTGAAGCCGCCCATCGATGTCTACTTCCACGATCCGCTGGGCCTGAGCGTACGTCAGCGTCTCCCGAGTCGGCGAGCACTTGAGGCTGTAGGGAGAAGGAGAACGCCTCCCCTCCAAGTTCTGCCGGGACCTCCTCCGAGGCTTCCTCATTGCTGCAGCCCAGGGTCCCTGCAACAAACCAGCACCAGCGTAAGCCAAGGAGACAACCAAACAGCAGCAGCACAGATTGAAAAAGCCACACGGCATCCCAACAGAAAAACATTTCCACTAGAGACCCCAGCAGTTTCAGGCTTGCTGAGGTTTCTTCACTTTCTTAGCTACAAGCAAGGACCAGATGTATCAATCATTTCTTGCAACGCATATCACAGCAACGCACAGCACCCTCCAACGTTCTCTACGTGCATGCCAGGAAATGTGCATACCCCCATAGTACCAGCTGAGAAGAGCTGCAATGTGTTTTCCAGCACAGCATCTAAACACTCTGCTGTGCATTCAGGTCAGCAAACCGCTCAGATCCCCAGGAACTCAAACACCACTTATTCCATCTGCTTGCACCGTTCACACGCTTAGTTCGCACAGGCCAAGTTCTTCTCTCTGTTCTCTTGCCCATGACTTTTCTTTTATATCCTCGACAGCACACACAATGTGCTGGATGTTTTCCATGCCTAAACGAAAGCGCTGTTCCTGCCCTATAAAAGCAGTTCCTTATTTTTTGTGTGTGTGGCTGAGCTCCACGTGAGAAAACCAGCAGCGTTCCCTCAGTCCAGGAGGGAGCTCACCCACATTTCCCACCTCAAGGCTGCCGCTGCCACTCCTTCCTTTCCCACACCGTGGATGCAAAAAGTGTTCTTTTTGCTCCAGTTTTGCTTTCCCTTCTCCTGCAGATGTAGCTGTTCCTTACACCACTCCGCAGACACAACATGCTGAAATGACCCACGTCCCTCGCATTATGCAAAAAGGGTCAGAGAAGCCCGAGAAGAACCACAGGATGAACTGAGCAATGGGTGCTAGGTGCGCATCCCTTCTGCTCTTTGGCGGGATCTATAAGGAAGCAAAGGGGAATGAGCAGCACGGACTTACGGGCTCTGGCTCAGCATCAGCCCCTCTGGAGCCACAATCCATGTTCAGGACACCCGAGCTGGTTCTGCGTGCAGGATCCCAGCGTTACAAGCAGGAAAGCAGCAAGACACCTTCTGGACCGAGCTGTCCCGGGAGCTGTGCAATGGTATTCGCACGGAGCCTTAACTAAAAGCCCACGCCAGCTCTGCCCTCGCAAATGGCTAATCAGCAACTGAGATAATTATTTGAGAGTCGGCTCCTGACGTTAAGGAGGTGCCCGGCAAGGGGGAGCGAAGAAGCCTGGAGCGATGAGAAGAGCTGGGGGAGGATGGAAACACGGCGGCAGGAGCCCAGCGCTCTCAGGGCAAAGGAGGGAGGCAGCAAAGAGGGAAAGTGGAGAGGAAGCCAAATGAGTAATGCGAGGGAGAAGGACAGTGTCAGGGATGGGAACATGAGATATGGGAAGAAACAGGCCGAGGAGGAAACAGGCCGAGGAAAGAGGGAGAGGAGGAAAAGAAAAGCAAATGTAAAATCTCCCCAAGAAGATAAGCTGGCCCAGAGCTTATCTGTTGCTGCGCAGAGGCCTGAACCAGCACCTCACCCTCATTTAGAGCATTCCACACTTGCAGCCCTTTTCTGTGGGACTTGCAGACAAGAAAAACCACTACAAAAACACAATTTGCGTTTAGCTGTTGCATTATTTCTGCTCTGTGATGGACATAACCTCACAAAACCTCATTTGTGTGACTCAGAGCAAGCAGCACCTCACGGGACCGGTGCCTACAAGAATTCATGAAGTTATCCAAGAAAGGAGTAACAAATTCCAGGAGTGACACATTTCTCTCAAAAGTACTGGCTGTTAACCATGAGAGCAAGTCCATGGTATAACACGTATGCTGAGAAACAAACAGGTTTTGGGAAAAGTTTCTAAATCCTCCTTTGCATCCACAGAAATAAGCTGCACGTGCCAGTTTCAGTAAGCACACCCGTAATGATGGAGTCTGAAAGCACAGCTTAAGCACAGATGCAAAATACGAGAGGGCAATTTCCACCTGCAAATATAGATATCATGATTTCCAGGATTTTTGCCTTAAAACGCTACTCAGCCACTTGATCAGCAGACTGCAGAAATGCAACTGAACTTGTCCCAGATAAACTCCAATTGCTTCAACCAGTAGCAAAATAAAAGAATTTTTAAAAAGGGTATAAAGGCAGCTTGATGTACAGATAAAAAAACAACAAGAAAACCCTGCTGACATAAGGCTCTCTTAACTGAGGAAGATGTTGGAGGCAAAAAGTTACACGAACAAAAAGATATTGGAGGATAAAGGAATTAGAATGACCTGACCACAGTTGTTATTAATATTGTGTTCAGGAAAAACAAAGCATTAGCCAATTGCTGGGAGTGCAGAGAGATTAGAGCTTTGCTTTTTAAAACAAAACAACAACAAAAAACAAGCACCCCAAGGAAGGGTTATTTTACCTGTTGATGGGAACAGCAAGGGTACTGCATTCTTGTAGCTTTAGTGAAACAATCAGAATATTGTCTGGAGAAATTACCCCAAGTGGGTTTTCTACTGACTGTTATAAACCAACCCATTTGTAAAACACACAATTACTTAACGCTACACAGAAGGATCTAAAATGGTACGGAAATTGCTGCCAGCAAGATCTGAGTGCCTGGGATAAGACATGCCAGCTGATTTCTAAAGGTATCTAGATATTAGGAGAGACAGCAGCTACCCACCTCCAAAATGCCTTGAAAGCAGCCATGAAACGAACTCAGACACACTGCACTGAACACTGAGACCTTGTCTGCAACACAGAAACTTCTAAGAAGCAATCTAGGAATGTTTTGATCTTCTTGGCACACTTGAAAACATCTCCCAGCCACATATAAAAATAATCCCTCTGCAAACAGCATCCGTGCACACTGAAATTCTAAAGAGATTTGACTTCAGCAGGGTTAAACGCTGTTTCAACCCATGCTGTTTCTGTCCTACCATGGACAAAGGTTGTTGATGTAAAAGCAGAAAGTTCAAAGAGTCGTCCTCTTGCTGTCGCCAGTGTGCTCAAGGCTTTCCAAAAACCTCCCATAAGCCATTTCCGCTGGGTATTGCGCCAGGAACAGGGGGATAGGTTCCTAGAGAGCACAACTGAACAAACAACGTGGCTAAAACGCACAAAGCTGCCAGAGCTTAATTTAATTCTATCCCACCAGTTTGCTCAGAAATGGCTCAATTCTCTCCAGCAGCAGTTTTCATACCTGTGGCCCAGAAACGCCTGGGCTCTAAAAAGGGAACTAACAAAAACAAGCTCCATCAGGAGACTTAAATGTACTACAGGGGGGTAGAAAGCTCCACTTAAAAACAGGGAGAGATCCACATTTTATTGCAATACAGGCCCCTATTGTACATGCAGCCTGGAAAAATCCAGCACAAGTGGATCCTCCAACAGGGCTAAATGTCGCTGTGCTTTACACCCATGCAAGGCTCCTCTGAGGACCAGAGGCACCCGCTCACACCTCAGGAGCCCTCAGTCTCCTTTCCAGCCCTCGTTAATTCCTGCAGCCCTTCTTTCTGGCCTCGCCATGCAGATGACCAAGGATTTTCTCGCCAGCACCACGTTTCTTTGCTAACCTGCAGAGGTCACAAGGCTGGAGCTCAAGGCAGTGATGCTGGGGGAGCTTCTGGGCCATTTCCAGCATGGCATGTGGATCCCAGAGAAGAGCTAGGTCCCCTGCTGATGAAGATCTTTGTGATTTAGAGAGAGGAAGGCTACCTGGACCTCGGCAGGAGGCAGATGGGAATAGTGCTGCTATCACTCCATTCCAAAACATCCTGACCATGCTGACTACGGCTTATACAGCCCTAAACAGCCCAGTTTTAGTTAAGCTTAGCCTGGTGTTAGCAGCAAAGGCCTCTCCCCAGGACACCAAGTCAGACACGAGGCCTGGAGCCGTTCGTCCTCCCACTCCTCAGCGCCGTCCTGCGCTGGCATCGCCCCAACCCCAGGCAGCCGCCTGTTGCTGTTTGCCCTGATTTTAAATCTGCTCCCGCGTAGCAGGGATCGAGCACCTACAGAGCTATTTAAGAAACGTATCCGTGAAATAACAGCAACAGACACCACAGGAGAGAAACCGCCTGAGGCAGCCGCGTCCCCTCTCCACTACATGGCTCCTTCTCTTGCCAACCAAGAGCACCAAGAGGGCCAAACTCCTCCACGTGCCCACAGTGCCATGCCTCTCCACAGACCCACACGGACCCCAGACCCCGTGAATCCACCCCAATCCCTACAGAGCAGCCTCAGGAATTGCTGAGAGCTTTCGAGCTGGTGAGTGCTCCAGCACACCGTGATCGATCCCTGAATATTTCTGTAACCAAACGGAGCCACAGCACACGCCGGGAGTTGCGCCAGGCTGCAGGAGGGGAGCTCTGTGTGGACATGGTTGGGTGCAACACGTTTATGGCAGGCTGGGGGGGAAGTTTTAAGGGAAGCCTGGTCACAGCTGCAGCCCCCTGATGTGGCAGGTGCCAGCTGGGGGCAACTCTTGGGAGCTCCTGGCTGCTGCTAGGGCCATGACAGCCCCTCAGGAAGCCCTAGTTACAGCCAGAGAACTGGGGCAAGGCACAGCAGGGTCCCTGCACAGCCATAACGGCGCGCCCATGGGTGCAGGGGGCGAGGCGGCTGCGCTGAGCTCTGCCCGTCCTCAGCACCCCGGGGTGCGAGAAAAGTCCCCGAGGAGCCCCGGAGCTGGGCGGGAGGGGGAGCGAGAAAGAGCCACGGGAAAGCCGAGCCGCTATTGGCTCCCAGCCGCTGTCCATCCCGGCCCCGCCGCCAATCCCAACGCGAGGCGCCGCGGGCCTAACGGAGGGCGTGCCCGGCCCCGCCCTTAGACCAATAGCGTGGGAGAAGGTGGGCGGGGCCGCCACCGGCGCCGTGCTGAGGGGGAGCCAAGATGGCGGCCAGGGGGGGGCTCGGCGGCCGCGCCGCTGCCCGGCCCCGCTCCCCCGGCCCCGCCGCCGCCTCCCCCCGCTCGCTGAGAGCCGCGGGCCGTTAAGCGGAGACCGAGCCGGGGGGGGACCGGCCCCGCTGCCTCAAGGCTCCCCCAGGCTCCTTCCCGCCCTGCCCGGTCACCTTCCCGCGACCCCAGCGCGGGGGGTGCGTGAGGGAGGAGAGCCCCTGAGGGAAGGGGGGGGGGCCGCGGCCTGCCGCGCACCGCGTTACCTGCCCGCTCCAGCGCTCTCCGCCGGTGCCGCCGCCTCCTTTTAGGATTTTTTGGGGGGGGTTCTCCTCATTTTTTTGGAAAAAAAAGCAAACCTTTCCGCCTCCCAACCCCCCCCCCCCCCCCCCCCGTTGGGGCGGACGGGCTCACCCAGCCGGCGGCGGGAGGGGAGGGCACAAGATGTCGGCTCCGTCCTCTCCGGCAACCGCCGCCTTCTCCTCAGCGCCGCCTCCTCATGCCGCTGCCGCCGCTCCGGCCCCCCCGGTGCCGCTTCTTCTCTCCCCCCCCCCCCCAACCTCCAACTCCTTTTTCCCTGCTCCCACCCCCCCAAAAAAAAAAAAATTTAAAAAAAAAATCCCTCCCGGGGGCCCCCCCCAGCGCCCCCCGGTGCTGTGTGGAGGGGATGGGGGGGTTGGGGGGCGGGGGGGGGGAGCAGGGGACACCACGGGCACAAGATGGAGGCGGCGCTGGTGGCGGTGCTGGTGGCGGCGGAGCCCGGCCGAGCGGCGAGGGAAGGCGGCGGGCAGGCGGGGGAGGGGGCTGCTGTGGTTCTCCGCTCCGCTTTCTCTCTGTCTTTCCACCCCCCCCCCCCGCCGCGGGCAGGGACCGCCCGCCCCTCCCCGGTCCCTTCCCACCCCCGGGCTGAGCCGAGCTGGAGGCCCCCGGGGGCTGCGGGGTGATGGGGAGGAGGTTGGGGGGGGGCTGGCAGTGGTTGGGGGTGCTGCTTGTGGATGGTGGTGGTGCCCCCCCACACACACTTTGTGCGTGGTGGGGAGGGGGCTGCAGAGCTGCTGCTGGCTCCGGGTGGTTGGGGGGGGACACACACACAGTCGTCGTGCCCCCCCCCCCCAGCTTGGGGTTAGCCCAAGGGTCCCATCTTAGTTACACCGGGAGATGGGCAAGCCAGCTTTTGTCCCAGGTTCGGGAGCGTGCCTTCGTGCTGCGCCCGTTTTAATGAAAAATGATTTTATTTATTTATTTGCAGGAGGCGTGGGGTGCTTAAAAAACACGTGGGAGCCTGCTTGGGAGCAACGCCAGGCGCCGGCTAGCCCGGCTGCGCTGCCCGCACGGCTGCACCCCCCAGAGAGCGTGTAAGCCTTGTGTCTGCCACGGTTCGGCCAAACAAGCGACATCAAACAAATGATGAGAATAATAAGAGTCCGTATTTATTTTCTAGTCTAATACTTCGGGTCCAGATGGCCTTCTAATGTGCGGAGGTGTGGCAGGGTGGAAGGACAGAGAGGGACCGAGAGGAGTGAGCGAGGAAGAAGTTATGCTTGCAACTGAGAGAAGTGGTGAGATAGGAACTCCAGAGGCTCCTACACTTATTTTTTATAGCGCGTACCACATACTTGTGCATATGTACACTCCACCTCCCACTCACGATCATGCAGAGGATTGCATAATATTACCATCTGAATTTACAGAATTAACCGAATTGTTTGCAGAGGAAAAATTGAATGTTATTTTCCCTCGTTTACAGTCCAACTATAGATCTTTTGTCTTTTAACGTATGTTAACTGCAGAACATGAGAGCAGCTGAACAGCCTGTGACAAGTCTGTTCTGCACAGTACTCCGGTTGGACCAGAGCTTGTTGAAGCCTAAAAAACATGGGAAAACATGTTCCATAATGTGGAACAGTAATGCTGTGACAGATTTTACATGGCAACCTCTAAGTACTCCTTTCTGTATATATATTTTTAAAGAATCTGTTGTTAACTCATCAGGACTCAATATTACATATTCCATGATTTTTTTTATGGATGAAAATAATCAGAGTTACAGAAATAAAATACTCTTTTATATAAGATCCCACCTAACCCCCAGAGAACAACAATGCAAAGCACAATCCTATCTATGAAAGATAACAAAAAAATCTATCAAATAGGTGTTTCAGCATCTGAGTAGTATTGGGAAGACTGTTACACTGTAAGTAAAATCATTTTAATAACTGCAGGGAGCAATTTCACTAGCTCATTTCCCTTCTTTATGTGAGAACTTAGTTTTGATTTCAACACAGGGTTTTCTTGTGTTTTTTTTTTTTTCTTTTTTTTTTTTCCCCAGTGTGTTTTTTTTTTTTTAATATGACAAACTTGTGCAACTTCTTTTATTTTGACCTCAGTTTTGAAGCTCTTTATACTCTTAGATTTGCACTGAAATTGGCTTATTATAATCACATTAGGTTCCAGTCTTGCAAAGATTTGCATACATGCTTAATGTCAACCGTGTGAATAGCCCTATTAAATTCGGTAGGATGACTCGTGCACAACATGAAGTATGCACAGACATCTCTGAAGATTGGGGGCCATATGTTAGAACATCAAAACAAGTTATCCATCATTTAATTTTAAAATAGAGCTGTGGAACTAATGTGTTATTTGAAAAAACATCCTGGACTTATCTCAAATCCCAGAGGCACAACTTAATTTAATTTCTTTGCTCTCCTACTTTTTAAAGGGTATGAGTGCAAAACCAGCGATGTCGCTTCAAATAAAAAGAGCAGCTGAGACAGTTCAAATAGAGCTGGGCACCTTCAGTTGTAATTTTCTTCATATTTATTCAATTACATAAACATACTTAAAAGGGGAGAAAATTATCATTTGGAATTGAAAACAGAAAAGTGACCTCTTTTTGTTTGTTGATTCATTAAGCCTCAAGATGAGTATGCTTTTATATCTGTGCCTCAGTTTGTTCTGGGGCTGTTTTCTTCAGAAACACCGAAATTAATGCAATTGCTAAAAAGGATCTGTGCACCTTAAAGGTCAAAAGCCTGATACCTCAAAGTGATTAGCCTTAGCTGCAGTATATTTCAGCTGGATTTGCAAGTGCTCAGCTGTACTTCCTAAGACCCTACTTTTGTGTGGAATATTTATAGCCCTGTTCAGTCCCAGTAACTTCAGAGGTGACACAGACACCCAGAGCTGTCACCCCAGTGGTAATTAATGGTGTTCTTTTTTTTTTTTTTTTTTTTTTTAATCTTAGCAGGTAAATCAGTTTTAAAACCCTTTTCAAGTTTTCTGAGGAAAGATCTGATATTATGGTTGATAGGAGGAAGGATTATAATTTTTGTATCCAAACGTGGCTAAAAGGAGTTAGCTGTCTTTCATTCAACTGAAAATTAATAGGGGTTAAAGATAAATACTAACCTTTCAGTATTATTTAATAGAGCACAACCCAACAAAAAAGGAGTTATCAATCAGCCAAAGTGCTGACTGCATCAAATGTGAAGCAGCATTGGCTGAACATGGTATTAAAAGCTGTATAAACCCATGTGCTCAGATAATGACCTCGTAGAGAGAAATCAGGCAAAACATCCCATACATCACAATTGCTTGGAAACACTGACATTTTCACAGTGGAGTGATGCTGATGGCCTTGAACATAACTGCAATTAGTGAAGTAAGTGTCCATCCGTTCTGGGGGAAAAAATGAATTAGTACAGGCTATTTTGGGTCTTCTTTCATGTCTCGTTTCTCTTAGTTGGGGAAAAAAAAGACATAATCATATTACCAGCCAGCACTCCACTGACCCATGATAAGGGAAACTGCAGAGGATTAGGAACACTTTGCCTGGTTACTTAGGCAAGTGAGACATGGAAATAGGAAAACACATCACCATCCTTCTTGCAGTATTGCAGAGTTCTCAGATGTGTTTATAATTTCCTGTGTTTTTTTTTTTTTTTTCCTAGCCCATTATCACACACTTAAAAACTGAAAATGATTCATCTGTTTAGTCTTACTTAGAATGTGAAAAGATTAAATAACGAAAACAGACTCTTTTTTCCTGTGGGATAAAATAAGTATGGTTTTCTAAGAAGCTGTAGATGCTTTCAAAGCTCTGCATTGAAAGGTTTCTACGTAGTGTCCAAAAGTTGGTGAATATCGCGTCCTTGTTAAAAAAATGCTGATAACTTCGTAGTGTCTCTTAAGAAAAAAGAGGGAAAAAAAAGTTTAATCTACTTTTTCTTGCTCACTCAACTCTAAGTACCTAATAAATAAGATCTGTCCCATAAAGTTGCAACTCACAGACCCAATTTGCTGTCAAAAAACTTGCACAAAAAGATTGTTTATGATGAATGTTTCACTTTCCAGGTAACAAGAAAAAATAATGCTTCCTAAACTCAGAAATAAACGCAGAATGAACACAAGTATTTCATGAGGGACATCTGTACATTATGTGAGGTAGGCACAAATGAATTGTATCAACATAATTTTTTATCGTACATCCTTAATATAAATAGCAAGCATATTTCTGACTGGCCTAATTTACAGAATTTTAGATGTGCACTTAATAGCTGAGTGATTCCTACCACTCGATTCTGTATTTTAAAGTATGTAAACTACACAAAGGGAAAAACTAACACAAGGAATGTACATCAATTATGTGTCAGTGTGGGTCATCTAATAGACGCACCTGCGCCCCAGCATAACATCATTTCTTCTTTGACTAATAGTGTCTGTCAGGGTCACACACCCCATGTCTCTTGTGCTGATTTTAAAGTATTTTATACCTTGGCCTGAGTCAGTGTCTCTGTCAAGTAAGTGTTTTTTAAGCTCCTTACATGACAAGTAAATATGAATTATTTTTTTTCGAGTAGCACATTCGTCTTCAGTGAAAAATGTCCATAAGTGCTGTGTGTATATGGGGCAGTTGGTCTCTGTAACTGAATTCCATCTTTCCACTATCACCCCGCTACATTTCCTGCTATCTCGTACACACAACAACGCATGCACCTCCCTGGTTCTTGGGCTTGCAGAGCACCCACTCCCCATGCTTGTCACGATACTGGAAAATGCAGAGAGAAGTAGTATTTGGCTCTGGGAGGATGCGTGGCATACTAAAGGAGTGCTCGGCGGGGTCAGTGAGTGAATGAATGACTCTCAGAGTGTGGAGCCCACACAGGAAACTGTTAAGATTGTTCTATTTCAGTGCTCAGTGTAAACTCACAGAACAGAAAACCTACTCAGAAACCTGCTCTGTGAAGCAGGCGATACTTTCTGGAAATATATTCAGTAGAAAGACCGATAATGAAGAGATTCCTACGTGCTACACCTGAAACAAGTGAACTGGTATTTGCACGCTTTGAAAGCAAAATCTGCGTACCCCCCACTCGGTGGTGGTCACATTTCCTCTTCTCATGCCTAGTGGTACTGGAAATTCCTGGTACCTCTTTTAATCCCCTGGTCAGACACAAGTCCTGAATGGCATCTCAGGTTATTTAAAGCTATGGAGGCTCCTTTTCAACTGCCATTACGACGTTCAGTACATTATCACAGAAATGTTTTCTCCCTCAGTCATCACGGAATGCCAGCAAACTCCAGGCCTTTTCAGGTCTTCCTAGCCTCCCCCTCCCCATTTGAAGCATGGCAATACAGTTAAGTCACACTCTAAATTCCCATTTAAAGCTGGTCTTCAACCTGAATGGGTCCTTTCTGAAAGAAAGCAGTTCTCCAAAAGTCTGTGCTGCAGATTTACTCCATTTCAGACCCTTGTCCACCTCTGGCTGTGCATAACTGTGTATCATCAGAAGAGCAGTGTGCCTGACCCGCAGTCCTGAGCCATCTCCCCATACATCTGTGCACACTCACCTGCATGGTGAACCTCCTCTGCTGGACACCGAGCCTGTTTTACTGGGGCATAAGCAGCTGTAAACACGTGCAGCTGAGATGTTTATGGCAGCCGCACAGAGCTCTCTGACCTCTGTTAAAGATTATGCAGTGGACAGGGCAGCCAAGTCAGATGTCAGGTTCAAAGGGACAGGATTTCAACTGGGGATTGATGCAGCTGAAACCTCTCCCACTGGTCAGGGAGAATGCAGATTGTATCACACAGCAGGAGGAAGGAAGGATGGTCCCTTACTCTCATTAAACTTTGGTTCTTCAAGATCTTGTCAACAGGATCCTGCTGCATGCCTTCCAGCCCAGCTTTCTAGTGTATTTTGAGGCAGAAATGTTGAATTTCAAGGGAATTGAGGGAAGATTGCAACAGCTCTGCATTCAGTGTCCTTACCTAAGGGTGCAGTGAGGCACAGGGCTGTATGTGGCCCAAAGAGATAGAAGCCAAGGGAAACTGCATCAGTGCAGAGCATCTGTGCAGCTAGAGCAAGATAACATCAGTGCAGTCATATCAAAAAACTGCAGTTGCCGTAGGGCTATCCTGAGCAGTGCACGGTGTGAACTGCAGCAGAGAGAGACAAGAAACACAACATCACCTCGTCTGATTCGCAGTGAAGACCAGAGCTCAAAAAATTCTGTTCATGGGGCACTGCTCCCTTATTTGAGGTCTGTACAGCAAAACCAGAAATCATTCACAGGCAAAGAGGAAAATCGGAAGAGTACTGGAAGTGCACGTCCTGGCTAAAACAAACTAAAATGACTCAGCAGCTACAAAAGGGGTGGAGAGCGGAGAAACATTGCATATGTAACCGAGCTCGTATACCTTCTATGCTCATGTAACCCTAGGGCCCGTGTTCTCTGGGCTCTTGCACAGAGAAGACCCTGGTCTCTTGGCACACATCCCCTGGGATGGACTTTGGAACAACCACCTGAACCTGTCTGAGTGCAACAGGGCAGGAGATGCCAACCAAGGAGATCTTTATGCTGTAGTTCAAAGTTGTTATCACAACTAACAATCGCAGCTGCCTAGCACTGAACGATCTAGTGCCTATCCAACAAGCAGTGGATCTGCAGGTAGGCCAGATTCAGCACAGGCTGCAAAACTTTCTGAAGATTTAGCAGGCTAACACGCTGAGCTCCGTGCTACTTTACAGCTTGTTCTATTAATACCAAGCTCACCAGCTTACTTAAAGCTAGCTCAGATGTGCTTGCATGTATCACACCTCTGGATCACAGGGTGGATCTGCACATACCTACCAATTTACAGGAAAGGATTTGGAAAGTGATTGCAGTAATCTGTAATATTTTTAACCTTTGCTGTCAACTGCAGGCAGAATACTCTGGCAAGAAATTGAAGAGCTGGGCAGCACCAGAACCATTCTGTACAGCACTTCGGCAACCAAGGGGCTCTAACGATAGCACATTGCAATTGTAGGGAAAAAATGTGGGTCCCAAACAGATCTATATCCATGTACATACTTTGAACATTATTTTATGCCTGACAAACCTCACTGTGTTACTGCTAGCGAGCCTTACGCTCGATGGCTTTCAGGAAAACCTCTGCAAAAGGGGCCGATTGCATAAGTCTGTGCTCCTGTGCAGATTCTGTAAGACCATAAAAAGATACTTAACCTGAATGAATCATAACTCCATTACTATTTAGGCTTTTCTCTATGCTACCTTTAATATGTAGGTACATGGAACTTATCCAGAGGTTTATTACAGTCCATTCAAGAAAACTAGCAATTTCCATCCATAGCAAAGCTGCAGGTAGATGACTTATTAGAGAATCAATCTTTAAAAGTGGCTGTGCCTTTGTATCCTGCTCAGCATAGAACCAGCAGAAAATGATGTCTTTTTTAAGTACTTCTATTAGTTTTGGTTTAGCAATTAGCATTCCCATGTGATTATTAACCAAAATGGTGTTTAAGGGAATATGTGACAGGCTGGGAGGCGTCCTAATACATATCTAAAGATTTTTTTGTGGGGGTGAGGCATACTCATTCATATTTTGAGCAAGAATAAAGGCCTGTCAGAGAAAAATCTATTCTATAGCACTGCAGAAAGGGGATAAACAGCTCTAAAGTCCCTATAGTACTTAGGAAGCTCTGCAATTAACTGTTTAGCATATAAGCAATGAGAACTTTTAGGAATAGAGGAAGGAGGGAAAAATTCTTAAACACTATCCAGTCACCTGGTCTCACAAATACTGAAGGATCACAACATCACCACACATACAAGTGGTCAGGAGAGAGCATTATAATAAGCTGTGCAAGCAAACGCGGGACATATTTCAAAAGGACTAAAGAGAGTTAGTGTCTACAGGATTGTAGAGTTAGAAAGAGGGCTGCCGCAGAGAGGCAGGAATTTAAGGAACTACAATACCAGACTTTGAAACTAGCTTGGAGTCACCTTACTCTCCAGAAACCAACTCATCCACATCTGCTTTCCCTGAGATATCCCACACCAGCAATAAATTACCCTTGATTTCTTTATAAAAAAGCATTTAGCATTCAGCATTTAGAGAGCAGGCACCAAGGCAAGAACCTACAGAGCTGTAGCAAGCCTGAAGTCACTTTCAGATCCCATTTGCTTATTTTGTTCTGGGAATTGTTTTTCATATTTCTCCTCTTCTAATGATAATAACGTTCATATCAAACACCTGTGTATTTGGTGGATTGGGAAATATTGACACATACGCATCAAAAATTTCCAGGTGAGCGTCTCAGAGGCGGCAATTTCTTGAAGCCACCAAGAATTTCTCACTAAAGCGAATGAATTAAAGTTTGCATATATAAATAAGAAAGAAAGCCTCACCAAAGGAAGTACAGTAAAGGGAATTTGTGAAGCTCTTATTTACAAGGATGCTATTTAGCCTGCAGCAGCTTTTGCACAATAGCAGAAAAAGATTTTCTGAGATGCAATTTCTAAGGGTGCTGACTGAAGGATCTAATCTGATACTCCAAAACTAAGGTATCTGAAATTATTTTTGTGCTCACTGATTTGTGTTTTCCTTTCTGCTAATGCTACATTGTTCAAGCAATGCATTTTTATGCTTTTTTCTCCTGTATATACATTTTTTGATCCTTACTCAAGGATCTGAGCCTTAGGACTGACAAGACTTCAGACATTTCCCAAATGATCAGTTTGAACGTCTCTTCATGGTAAAAGGTGAACAGCTCTTTTAGAAGACTGGAGCAAAAGATCCCAGGTTGACCTGATCCCTCAGAGCAGGGGGAATGAGAACACTGAGGGGTCACATCACTGGACCGTGTAACCAAATACCCGACCTGCTGAGTGATAAAGGCAGCCTGCGGCGGGCAGGGTAGCTCCAGGGAAAGGGTGCTCAGTGAGAGATAACCCCGCTAAGACAGAACCGTTGGGGAAACCAGGCTGAGCATAAAGGCAGAGGCCCGTGTGAGGGCAGCAGGACTACTTGGTGATACCCAGATCCTTGGGATACCGGGTCCGTGAACGTGGCAAAGCGGCCTTGAATTCCCCGGTTGTGTTTGCAGATAGCAGTAAGGAGGAGACAGCACGGATCAAAACCATGAGAATGAGAAAAGCAGAGCAAAAAGGAGGAGCTAGCAGCTGTCCAAGGGAGGCAGCACCCTAGCTGGGAGTTTTGCAGAT